TTCGTAAAGCCCTACACTGTAATCTTTCTATTTTTTGTAATGATGTTTTAGCTGCTGCTCCATATATAATGCTGCCATAATCTATTATTGCTCTCATTAGAGCCCTGTATATGCTTAATAATGACTGTCTATCTGCCCCCCAATTGTTTCCAGCCACAGCCTTTAATATATTAATAACTTTTTTACATTTGGTTTCTAAGTTATCTATATGTGTTTTCCATGAGTAAGAACTGTCCAACCATAAACCTAGATATTTATATTCTGTTACTCTTTCTAAAGTCTGTCCATATAATGTTATTGTTTCTATATTAATATTTCTCTTCTTTGTGACAACCATATAGCAAGATTTGGTTGCTGATAATTTGAAACCCCATTCATAAGACCATTTTTCAACTTTACTAATTGCTTTTTTAATATTTTCTACAACATGTTTAATATTTTTCCCTTTCATCCATATGGCCCCATCATCTGCATATAGTGCAGATTTTATACATTTATCAGTTTCATAGAAAATATCATTGATCATAATATTAAATAAAATTGGACTAATTACACTACCTTGTGGTATTCCATTTTCAACATTATATTCATTTGAATAGTCATTCCCAATTTTTACTCTTATTTTTCTATTTAGTAGAAAATTTGCTATCCAATTATACATTCTCCCACCTATTCCCATCTGTTTCATTTTTATAAGTAATCCTTCTTTCCATAGTGAGTCATATGCTTTTTCTATGTCAAAAAATACTATAATCATTATTTCCTTCATTTTTAAAGCTTTCTCTATGTCATTACTGACTCTAGTTAGAGCATCTATTGTTGATCTTCCAGTTCTGAATCCACATTGATATCCATTTATTAGATTATTCTTCTCAAGATAGTATCCTAATCTATTAACCATTATTTTCTCCATCCATTTACTTAAATGGGAAGTAAGAGCAATTGGTCTGTAATTATTTGGATAGGAAGGATCTTTACCTGGCTTATTAAATGGTAAAATTATTGCCCTTTTCCAACTATTTGGTATTGTTCCTTCTTTCCATATTTTATTAAATAATTCTAATATTAATTTCAGTGTTACTTCCGGAATCTGTCGAAACATAGCGTAACATAACTGGTCTTCCCCTGGAGCTGAATACCCTGTCCCTTTCAATACTGTTTTTATTTCTTTCATGGTTATATTCATATCTAATGTTGACATATATTTTTGACATTTTTCTAGTGAGTTTTTATGATTTCCAAGTTTTTGAATCATCTGCCTTCTGTGGGTATTTGTCAAGTGATCACCACTATGAACTGCCGCAAATGTCTCTCCTAATAACTCTGCCTTATCTTTATTTAAAACCAATACCTCCTGTCCTCTGACTAAGGATGGAATATTGACATTGTTCTTTTTCCCCGTCATTTTTCTAAACATTGACCACACATTCTGTAAATTAACTTCTGAACCTATTGATGAACAATAGTCTCTCCACGTTTTCTTTTTTGCATCCTTTATAGTTTTCCGAGCTTTTGCTCTTTTCCTTTTATAATCAATAAGGTTTTCGATTGTTAGATTTTTCTGTAGTATTTTAAAAGCTTTATTACGATCTTTAATAGTTTTACTGCATTCATTATTCCACCAAGGAACTACTTTCTTCTGACCTTTCACTGTTATTTTTGGTATGCTGTAATTTGCAGCATTTAGAATATTTTCTACTATTTGATTTGTACACTCTTCAATATTACCTTTTAATGTTACTATATGTCTTGTTTCTTCACATTTTGTTTTAAATTTAAACCAATCGGCTTTATTAAAGCACCATCTTATTAATGTAAACTCTTCTTGTCTATTTATATTATCATTAATTATTGTACTCACTGGAAAGTGATCACTCCCTAGTGTAGATTCCCCATTTACATCCCATTCACATGCACTAACAAGACAGTCAGATACTAATGTAATATCTAGACATGAGATTGAATTTTTATGTATATTTATTCTTGTACCTTTTCCATTATTAAGACAAACTAATGACCTTTCATCCATTAATTCTTCCACTATTTCACCATTATGATCCGTTTTCTTGCTACCCCATAGACTGTTGTGAGCATTAAAATCTCCACACCAAACTTCTCTTCTATGTATTTTCCCTATTTCCTTAAATATTTCATTATCTAGATTTTTACACGGATTATAATAATTAATGATTTTAATATTTCCTTGTTTCCTTAAATTAAATATTTCTATATTTACACATTCTATTTTTTTATTTAATGAGTTTTTCTTGTAAGCAATTCCTTCCTTAATTAAAGTGGCACATCCTCCGCCACTACCATTACTTCTATCCTGTCTTTCTATATTATATCCAGGAATTTTAAAATCCAAGTTTGAGTTTAACCATGTTTCTTGTATACATATTACATCTGGTATTACTTCTAATTCATAAATATACTTTTTAAATTCTTGTCCATTAGCTATTATACTTCTGGCATTCCATTGTAGAATATGAATGACCATCAATAAAGCTTGTATCCTAATCCTGACCATTTTCTGTTATTTCAGTGGCACTCAAAATGGTATGTATTTGATCTGCTTGAATTTCTTTCATATCTAGGAATCTCCCTGCTGCTGTTACTATTTCTTTTATTTTATCACTTTTCTTCTTCATTTGGACTGTAACATTAATAACATGACATATAAATGCTACAAAGTTTTCTTTTTTCACCATCATTGTATTTTCCTCTATTTTACATTTATGTAAACATGTATTATTTGTATTTGTTGTTGGCATTAGTATTTGTCTCTGACCATTCATTCCTTGATTTGTGTTCTGAGAAGTGTAACTTTGATCTGCTTCTCCCAGCCTCATTCCTCTTTTACTATCTTTCTTTATTCTTTTTAATGCTTCTGCGTAAGAAACTCTTTCTGTTATCTTTATTTTCTGGGCTTCTCTAGCTTCCCTTTGAACTATACATCCACCATAGGCTGCACTATGCTCACCACCACAGTTACAGCATTTGATTTTGGCGTCTTTGTCACACTTTCCAAATTCATGTGGTCCTCCACATCTTGCACATCTAATTTTTCCCTTACAATCTTTTGCAATGTGTCCCATTCTTTGGCAGGTAAAACATCTGAGCGGTTTCGGGATGTACTCTCTAACTTTATAGTTCATAAATCCTAGCTGTATATTTTCTGGCATGTTATTTTCAAACTGCAATATCACAGCCATAGTGTCTTTGAGTTCCCCTTCTCTTCTACTTTTAATCCTGGTGGCATTTGTTATTTTCCCTCCTTTGATTTCATTCTTCACCTCCTCCATTGTCATTTCAAGTGGAACTCCTGAGATTACTCCTCTCAACCTTGCCATAAAACCTGGTATATGTGATTTAACTCGTTCTCCCATCAGAGTTTTCATTTTGATTATCTTCTGTTGTTGTGCCTCACTGATAGCTTGAATTATCACTTTTCTGTTGTTCATGATTCTGGCCGTTTTGATTTTCCCTATCTCTTCCTCTATTGCTTTGGTTATCTTTATCGGATGAATATAACCCCTTTCTTGCTGAAATTCCACCACAACTTTGTATTCCACTTCTGTATTACTGTTATCTTGTTCCCGTGAACTCACTCTCTGGTTTATTTTTGTCCTTTTACTTCCTTCCGCTCCTAGCTCACTTTCATCCGACCAACTTCTTGCCCTTTCATGTCTCTTTCTGATTGCTCTTTTCATTCTTGCTGACCTTGATAACATCCACTCCATTTCATTTCCACTACTTCCTCCTGATGTAGAAGCCATGCTACTACAGTCAATGTACAGCTTATGTGATCCGCCAAATTAGCTCCTACCGCCGTCTTTGTTTGTTGAGTTCAATCACCGCCTTCTGTGTCCTTTTCGCTGGGCCATGTCTCTGCAGTCCCGGTTAGAAGCGATGCCGAAGTACAAGGCCACGCACAGTAGGCGTCTGCACATCGGACCTGCCTCGGAGGGAATGCTGCCTGTTACCTCCAACCCTGAGGAAGCAAACGGACCGTTCACGGAGTTGTAATTTTTAGATACGCATGTGTTTGGATACGCGTTGTATATAGTTGTGTGTGTTTTAATAAAGCTCTTTCTTTGCATAAACAGCTTCCTGGCAAATCTTCATTTCCTGTATAAATTCATTCATGTCCTTGATGGTAGCATAATAATTGTGTAGTAGTGTAGGATAACATAAATACACAGCATATGAATGAATAAATATATGAATGAATAAATATATGAATATATATATATAAATGAATAAATATATATATATATATGAATAAATATATGTAAATATATATATATATATGCCAACCAATCACGAGCGACTTCACTTGTTTAAAAAGAAGTGGTTCCGTCCAATACTCGGTAAGAAAATTAAAGCCTGGCGTGGCCACGTGTGGTTTTGCTGCCAATCACGAGCGATTTCATTTGTTTGAGAATAGTGGTTTCAGCCAATACTGAGAAGGTTATTCAAGCCAGACCTGGCCAGCCGCGCGGGTTTGCTGCATTCATATGCTAATTAGGGCCATTAGTACAGCTGATCGCTCTCCACCTACGTCACTGTCCGTTTCCGACAATTTGTGGCACGACAAACGCGGACAAGCACGGGTTGCAAATTGTCGGAAACTGACGAAACTCAGGCAGATCTGCGGGAGTTTACGGGGGTTTACGGGGACGAAAATCTCACTTTTCATGCAGTGTTCTCTGGTGTTCTATCTTATCTGGTCTTGTCCAATTTTCACTGATTAATCCGGAGTTCTTTGATGTTCTATAATATCCTTCATATTCTTCTGATGTTCCCCTACAGAGAGTTCTCTAAAGTTCTGTGTTCTTAGTTGTTAGATTCATAAATGTTCTCTGTGATTTTCTCTGGAACTATCTGATATTTTCCTTGTGATGAAATATTATTTGTGTTTTTCCGCTTTCACTGATTCTCTTTCATGTTTAACTGTATTCTATGGTGTTCTTTGATATTCTCTTATGTTCCCTCTTATTCTCTAGTATTCTTATTGTTTTAAGATGTAACTATGTTCTCTTATGTTCTCCTACCTACAGTATGATCTTAGACGTTCCCTGATCCTCCTTGTGATTTGAAAAGTTCAATATGATATCTGATGTTCTCCAGGTTAGAGATGCCTGCCATGCTCTCTAAGATCTCTACCTGTATGTTCTCTGTGTTGCCAGATGTTCATGACTGTTTTGTGATTTTTAATGTTAATTGATTCTCTTTGAGGTTTTATATTATATGGTCTGTGATTGCCAATGTTCTCTGACGTTTCCCTTTCTTCTCTCTGTTCCAGAGGTTCAGAATAGCGTCGCCTTGCAGGTGAACTACACTCAGACAGAAATATGTGCTTTGGAATCAGGATCAGTGGAAATAAGCTGTACCTACATCAAAAAAACAACAATAATCAAACGTTTAGTTAAAAACACTATGTGGTCCATTAAAAGCAATGAAGGTACTCCAGTTGACCTGATATCAGACCCAGATTACAGAGGTCGTACTCAGTATCTCTGTCATCCAACTGGCTGCTCTCTGAGAATTGCAGACTTGAGAGAAAGCGACTCGGCTCAGTATCAGTTCACCATTAAGACAAACAATGGTAGAAGTTATACTAGTTCACCCGGAGTCTCTCTGTCTGTCACAGGTAACATGAAACAGACAAGATTCTTTTGAATGCATGTTACTGCATGAAGGACTTTTCCTTTTCATCTGGTTTCCAGCTCTCCAGGTAAAGGTCAAGAAGTTGGAGTACACAAACAGTTACTGCAAGGTGGAGCTAAGATGTCAAAGCAGCTGTCAGCCTAAACATCAGTCCTATATCTGGATCAAAAATGGACAGGAAATCTTGAGAGGAACATCTTCCTCAGTTTTTGTCTTGGTTTATCCTGCAGACAAATATTCCTGTGCTCTGGAAGAATACAAGGAGTTTCCCTCTCCATCAGTCTGTGAGTTCTTCCTCCAACATTCAGCCTAAAGCTTCAGGATATAAATCAGCTCCATACCAGACCTCTGCTGTAAATAAAAGTTTGCCCCAAATTATCTTTATTAAAAGTGTGATTATATTAAAATCTATTTCAGTGTGAAAACTCAAATCGATGGAATTATTAAAAAATCAGATGTGTACATGTTTTCTCCTGCAGATGCTCCTCAGCTTCCATCTGTGTCAATCAGTCCCACTGGTGAGATAGTGGAGAACAGAAAAGTGATTCTGACCTGCAGCAGTGATGCTAACCCAGCAGCTAACTACTCCTGGTACAAGGAAGATAAACAAAAACCAGTTAGTAATGAATCACAGCTCATCTTCAGCTCCATCCAGGCCTCTGACACTGGAAAGTATCACTGTGTGGCTGCAAATCCACTTGGGAGGAAAAGGTGTCAACAAAAACATATAAATGTGACATGTGAGTTAAACCTAATTCATTCCATTCCATCCATCCATCCATCCATCTACAGAGACAATTCAATCACAATCCATACCATGGTACCATACTGTAACGCACACCACTTCAAAAAAATACCATAGCCTACCGATAGGGATGCACGATATAATCGGCCCCCTATCGGTATCGGCCTGTATCAGCCTTAAAACTGAATATCGGACATCTGCCACCCCACCGACATTTAACCCGATATTTGATCAGCTTCTGAGTTTCTAAAGTCTAAAAAAAAAAAAAAAAATAAATACTTCTTCTTCCTCAACAACTTTTTTTTTACAGACTTAAAAACTTCTAAAGACGAGGGAAACATATTGATACATTAAAATATCACAATATCTTCATATGCTGATATATTGCCATTTAAAAACACCATATCAATCTCTTTTACTAATGAAATATTGCTATATGTCATCGTTATGCTACAAAAGCCCCCCAAATTCACGAAATTTTTTGATATTTTTATATGTTGATATATTGATGCGGTATCGATCTATTTTACTAACAAAATCTCACAAGAATTTGCAAAATATCACAAGAGTTTGTAACAGAACGATGAAATGTCACGAGATTTTGAAAGTAAAATAGATCGATACCGATTTTTAAAAATCAATTTGATATCAGTGTGTGTGTGTGAGTGTGTGTGTGAATGGGTGAATTAATGTAGTGTAAAGCGCTTTGGTCAGGTCTCCTAACCTGAATAAAGGCGCTATATAAGTACATGCCATTTACCATTTACCATCAGCATATGAAAATATATTTGAGTATATTATTTTTCAAAGTGTCAGAAATGGATAACAAAACTGCTATTTTCGATGACTACTTATTTTTGTCCAGCTTTAATACCGGTATCGGTTATCGGCTACATGAGTTTTAAAATATCGGCATATCGGCATATCGGATATCGGCCAAAATCCCAATATCGTGCATCCCTACCTACCATGCTATGCTATGCCATGCCACTCCGTGCCACGCCCCGCACCACCTTTATTTATAAAACACTTTCAACACCTAACACAGGCATCCCCAAACTCGGTCCTCGAGGGCCGCTGTCCTGCAGGTTTTGGAGGTTACCCTTCTTTAAAACAGCTGATTATAATGATTGCAGTAGAGCAAAAGCCTGTTAATCAGCTTTCAATTAAAATCAGCTGTGCTGGAGCAAGGAAACCTCTAAAACCTGCTGGACAGCAGCCCTCGAGGACCGAGTTTGGGGATGCCTGTCCTAACAGGACCAAAGTGCTATAAACAATCATATGATACCAAATGTACACACTATCCAGTAAAATTTGTTAAAAGTTTCAAGGAAAGCCAGTTGATTGCATATTTGACTTTCCAGGATCCATTCCTCCTATATGAACTCGTGGCAACAATAGATTTTCGCATTCATCATATCCATGGTTGCAGCAGTCCGTCACACTAAGCAGGCATGCAGCGAAAGTAGTTCGGAAAACTTTTTGTGGTAAAGGAATGAAAGAGAGCACATAAGGTTTGAAGTAAAAGCTGAGCCCATAACTATCTCTAGGATAGAAACATGACTAAACAGGCCTAATTCTATCACCTATACCTATAGGTGTTGACGACAGGAGCCGAGTTGATATTTCTCTCCAAGATGGTTTCACGGCAGAGACTGCATAACGTCAGTGATTTAACTAACAAATAATGCAGAATTGGAGAACAGAATGAAACAGAATAATGAGAAATGGTCTCCGTGTCCTCCAGCAGCCTAATCCTACAGCAGCATAACTACAGAAGAAGCTCAGGATAACCTGAGATAGCGACTCGAAAAATAAGCTTTATCAGAAAGGAAAGTTTTAAGCCAGTTCTTAATGGAAGACATTTTGAATATATGTTTCAGTTATACTACAGTTATTTAACTGTCTATGTATCAATGTTTAAGATACATTGTTCTGATGTTTTTTGCTGCAGTTCTAGTAAAAAAATGTTTATATTAAGTTATCTTTGTGAATAATCTAGACAGAGGGTCTGAATAAATCCAGTCTTTTACTTCAGAACCAGGATACCAGCAATTAACTCAGATAATCTGACTAATGTTTAAGAATTAATTTCATACTCTTGCAGATGCTCCTCGGCTTCCTTTAGTATTAGCGATTCCTTCAGGTGAGACAGTGGAGGGAAGCTCGGTGACTCTTACCTGCAGCAGTGATGCTAATCCAGGAGCTACCTACACTTGGTACAAGGAGGGTGACAAGTCCCCAAAAGCTTCAGGACAGAACTTTGTCATCTCTAATGTCAGACCTGAACACAGTGGGAGTTATTCCTGTGTAGCTCAGAACACTAGAGGTCACCAGAGCTTTAGTGTTCATCTGACTGTGGTAAAAGGTGAGTTCCCTCCTCTAGTGTGTTCACTACCTGAGTGGAGGCAGGGTGGAGTGAATGGAGATAAGGATGGCTGTAAAATAAAAGTGGAACTCTAGACAAGACCTGCTATGACAGGAGACTGAGCTGGAGGTGACAGAGTTGAAGAGGGTTGAAGGGGAAGATAAGAGGAACAGCTTAGGTTGTACCTCAGCACCCAGGGCAAGAAAGATTTAGGAGACCTGCAGGGCACAATGAAAAGTTGAGGAGCACATAGAAGATCCATGGACACACTGAAAAAGGACTTTGGAGGTGGAGGGTGAAACAATTCAAGATGTGAATAGAGGGGTGAGATGTATGTAGGTGATCCATGGCAGAGAGAAGTTGGATGAGGATTTAACAATCTTGGTTCTGTTTTTTTTTTTTTTTTTTAAGTTTTCAGTTTAGCCAGGTTTTTCATTGTTTTCTAGCTTTATTGGTGTGTCTGGATTCAGCCATAAATACACTCCCTCTGCAGTCCCTCTTTGCTGGTTCCTCGTCTTATTTCATCCTACCCTGGCTCCTCATGACTTTTTCCCCTGATGTTTCCATGGTCCTGGTTAGTGTTTAATTCTTATGTTGGATTTTTTTGGATTTCTGTTTCTGCTGCAAGATTTTTCCTTAAACCTTCCAAGATCTGGAAAACACCTAGGCTGAATTCCAAACCACCCTAAGCGCTATTCAATGTACGGAACTCAGTTGTGAGTGAACGCTGGCGTGGATGTCGCCGCTGCTCACCGCTGCACAGCAATCCCGACGGCGGTCTCCTGTTAACAGCCGACCTGTCCGCGGCCTACCTGTCTATAGCCTACCGGCCCATCCGTCAACAATCGACCATCATCAGCTGACCGGCCACTGGCCCACCTACCTACAGCCGACCCGCCACCGGCCCACCTGTATACAGCCGACCCGTCAGCCCACCAGCCACCGGCCCACCTGTCTACAGCCGACCGGCCCTCCTGCCGACAACCGACCCGTCAGCCCACCGGCCACCGGCCCACCTGTCTACAGCCGAACGGCCCTCCTGGCAACAACCGACCCGTCAGCCGACCGGCCACCGCTCCACCTGTTTCCAGCCAACTGATCAACGACATACCTGAGGATCCCTGGCCCTCCAGCCCTTCTTCCGTATTGGATGATGTGGATCCTCCGGTCGCTGTGGTGGTTTACGCTCGGCTGCCTTCTGGTGTCACTTGCCCAACTGCAAGCTGACGCTCTGTTCCAGTACTCCGTTGTTGAACTTCTGAAGCTCCGACGCCATTTCGACGTCCTCCAGCCTCCACATGGTTGCTCCATCCCCTCCGACATCGCCTTTCAGCCCAACCGGGTGCTAATCCGGCCTCCCTGGCTAGCTTACCCAGGGTGGCTAACCCCGCCCCCAAACTTAACTCTGCCACCGTCAGTCTCGGTCTCTTGAACATCCACTCACTCAGTAATAAGGGGCTTTTAATCAGAGACGCCATTGCGGATCATAATCTTGATTTTTTATGTTTGACAGAGACCTGGCAGCTTCCTAATGATTTTATCTCTCTTAACGAATCTGCACCACCTGGCTTTGTTTACGTTTGTCTGCCTCTTGCGTCTGGACGCGGCGGAGGTCTCGCATTGTTTCATCGCGAGAGTTGGAAGGTTGTCCCAATTCCTGCTGCTCCTGTTTTTTGTTCTTTTGAATATTCCGCCTCACTGCTGCCTGGACCCTCTCCCACAGTTATCACCACCGTCTACCGTCCTCCTAAATATAATAAGGATTTTTTGACTGACTTTTCTCAGCTCCTCACACATCTCTCAACCCTCTCCCATAATCTGATTATTTTGGGAGATTTCAACATTCACATGGATAATATCAGTGCTCCTCTCTCCAGAGACTTCTCATCCTGCCTGGAAAGCTTCGGTCTACATCAATACATCAACTTCCCAACTCACTGTAAAAATCATATTCTAGATTTAGTCTGTTGTTCTGGCATCACCCCCTCTGACTGTAAATCCCATACTGTTGCTTTTTCCGATCACATGCTCATTACTTTTAACGTTAAGCTCCCCCTGTCTAAAATCACCCTCCCTCGCATCATCTCCTTCCGGAATGTAAAGGACATCAACATTGACGCCTTCACCTCTGACATCAGTAATATCCCCAGTGTATCCGCCTGCTGCTCACCTGATGAACTGGTTTCCCACTACAATCAAAATCTCCATACTCTCCTGGACATCCATGCTCCTCTGAAATCTAGATCAGTCTCCTTCACTCACTCAGCTCCCTGGTTCACTCCTGCTCTCCGTCACCTCAAATCTCGCGGTCGTCAGCTGGAACGCCTTGCCAATAAAACTGGACTCACCATTCACAAAAATATGTACAAGGATCACATTGCACTGTACAAGACTTCCCTCTCCTCTGCCAAATCTGCATATTACTCTAACTTAATCCACTCCAACCGCCACAACTCCAAAACTCTCTTTTCCCTTCTCACTTCCATCACCAAACCTCCCGACTCCCTTCCCTATCATATGCAATCCGATGACTTCTGCAATAACCTTATGTCCTTTTTCGTCTCCAAAATCACAAATATCCATAAACACCTGACCTCTTCTGGAGCTGCAGCTCCTGAAGGCGACCCGGCTACCCCCTACCCATCTTTTGCAACCACCCTCTCCAGTTTTGACCTTCCATCTGTTCAAGCCATTTCTGACTTCATTCATAAATCCAAACCTTAACACATGTCAGCTCGATCCTCTCCCGTCCACTCTGGTTAAATCCTGCTGCTCTTCATTTGCTCCTCTCATCACCAAAATCATCCACTCTTCCTTAAGCTCTGGTTCAGTCCCCTCTGCACTCAAAACCGCTACAGTCACCCCAATTCTGAAAAAACCTGGCCTGGACCCCACCGACTTCAATAACTTACGTCCCATATCCAATCTACCCTTCATATCCAAAATTCTGGAAAAATCTGTTGCCTCCCAACTCCACAACCACCTGATGTCCAATAATATTTACGAACAGTTTCAATCTGGCTTCCGTCCTCTGCACAGTACTGAAACAGCACTCATCAAGATCTCTGACGACCTCCTTATGGCTTCTGACTCTGGACTACTTTCCATCCTCATTCTCCTGGACCTCACAGCAGCCTTCGACACCATCTCCCATGCCACTCTCCTCAGTCGACTATCATCCATCGGTATCTGCCGCACCCCTCTAACCTGGTTCACTTCATACCTCTCAGATAGGATACAGTTCATACAACTCAAATCTCATAAGTCCATCTACTTCCCTGTTTCTGCTGGTGTGCCCCAAGGTTCTGTCCTGGGGCCCCTCCTGTTTATTATCTACATCCTCCCTCTTGGCTACATCCTCCGTAAGCATCATATCAAATTCCACTGCTACGCGGACGACACCCAGCTCTACCTTTCTACTCAGCCATCTGCCTCACTCCCACCAATCTCCCTCACCCTCTGTCTCCAAGAAATCCATTCTTGGTTCTTATCCAACTTCCTCAAATTGAATAGCTCTAAAACCGAAGTCCTCCTAGTAGGCACACCTCACACTCTCTCCAAAGCTAATAACTTCTCGATTACCATCAATGATTCAACTGTCCTCCCCTCCCCTCAGGTTAAGAGTCTGGGTGTCGTCCTCGACACCACCCTCTCCTTCCAGTCCCACATTAACAACATCACCCGGTCTGCCTACTTCCATCTGCGTAACATCTCTCGTCTCCGTCCCTCCCTCACTCCCCAAACTACCGCCATTCTTGTTCACAGTCTCATCACTTCACGCATCGATTACTGTAACTCACTTCTTTTTGGCCTTCCAAACAAGTCCCTCCAGAAACTACAGCTCCTCCAAAACTCTTCAGCACGCCTGATCACTCGGACCCCCATTTCTCATCATATCACTCCCATCCTGGAACAACTCCACTGGCTCCCCATCAAACAAAGAATCATCTTCAAACTCCTCCTAACTACATTCAAGGCCCTCCACAGCTTGGCTCCATCTTACATCTCAGATCTCCTTCACGTTAAAACTCCCACCCGCTCCCTAAGATCCTCCCACTCCTTCCAGCTCTCCGTTCCCTCGGCCCGTCTGGTCACAATGGGGAACCGGGCATTTAGTCGCTCTGCTCCCCACCTATGGAACTCCCTCCCTCCGGATCTCCGTACTCTGGACTCCTTCCCTCTTTTCAAATCCAGACTCAAAACTTTCCTGTTCAGACAGTCCTATCCCATCTACTTCCTACGCATCACTTCAATATTGTTCTCTTCCTTTTCTTCCTTTGGTTTTATCTTACTTCCTGCTGTTTTGTTTTCTGTGGCATCTTATGCTTGTACTTTTTAGCTCCCTGTTTTTAATGTTTTTATCTGCCTGTACAGTGTCCTTGGGTGTTGTGATAAGGCGCTTTCAAATAAAATGTATTATTATTATTATTATTATTATTATCTCACCCATGCCTCCCAGCTTCTGCTTTTGGGTCCTAAAAAAACCCTTAAAACCAAATCCTGACAGAAGGAACCAGCCAAGAGGGACTGCAGAGGGAGTGTATTTATGGCTGACTGAACAAAGGTAGAGCTAATGAGCTGATAGGGAGCAGGTGTGATTAGAGCTGACGAGGATGCCAAGGGAAAAGAACACAAGGGGGAAGCAGAGGACAGACAGAAAAACCTAAGCAACTTAAATGAATCCAGACACCAATAAAGCTAGAAAACAATGAAAAACCTGGCTAAACTTGAAACTGAAAACTTAAAGAAAAACAACAGAACCAAGATCGTTACAGAGTATCAAGAATTTACCAGCCTGTGTAAATTCTCAAGTCATCTGGGTAATGGCAACCACAAAATAGGCTTAAATCAGAGTGACTCTGACTTTTGCGCATGTTTTCTGAAGACGTTTTGACATCTATCCAGGATTCTTTGTCAACTTTGTGGGCTTACAGCACAGCAAGCTGTAGTTGGAACGTTGATGTTTGCAAGCAGCATTGATGTTGATTTTCCCAACCATATTCCAAGTCACATGCAAATCAAAAACCAAGCCATCGTCCGTCGTTAGTGTTCTCGTGAATTTCTTTACAATGAGCTCCAAGACTGTATTGTAGAAACTTGGAGGGTTTCTACAATACAATACCCCCAAGTTATTTTCTGTTTTAATAATGATGGCTTTCTTTGCCCCCTTTCAAACCATCTGTCCTCCTTGTCCAAAATCTGAACCTTTTGGTATTCAAAGGTTTGTCCTTTGTTTTTGATGCTTGAATGTACACTTTAATTTTGCACAGAGCTGTTGGTTGATTAGTTGTTGTTTGGTTTCTCCAATATAGGAGTACGAGCAGTCATCTCTGCACTGGACTGCATAAAAAAAAAAACAAAAAAAAAACAAAAAACACCAATCCGCTTTGGTTTGGGTGTTCTGTCTTTGGGAAGAACATGATGTTATCTTAGTGTGTTGTTGGGTTTGAAATTCGGTATGTTATGTTTAGAGGAAAAATCCTTCTAGGTTTCTCAGAAATTCTTGACACATATGGAATTACAATATCTTTGTGTCCAGCCTTGTAACTCATTAAGAAAAACCTGTTCAAAATACTAAGTCCCCATTGTCATGTTGGTGCTTAGTTTTTAGCCCGCACATTCCGAATCACAGCGAATCAGCAAGTTTTAACATTTTATTTACAAAAAGAAACAAGAATCTGGAATATGCTGGTGAAGATTCTCAGTCATCCAGGTCATAGTCATTCTGAAAAAGTAAAAAAAAAAAAATCCCCTGGACTTTGTTTCCAAGGTTTGAGGACGTTTCGCTTCCCATCCAGGAAGCTTTCTCTCAATGCAAACCCAGACATTTTGATTGAGAAAGCTTCCTGGATAGGAAGCCAAACGTCGAGTGGATTGTTTTCTTTTTTTACTTTTTCAGAAGAATCTGGAAGTGAGAGAACTGCAGAAAGTCAGTTGAACTTTCTGGTTGGTCTGAGGGGCGAAAGCAAGCTGATCAGGAAGGAGTTGGTTGATGACAACTGATGGCTATTTGATTTGCTTACTTGAGAGATGAAGGGGAGGTAGCATGGATCTGTAGATATTTGATTCAGCGTGCTTTGCACACTGAACACCAGAGGTCTAGGAGAATGTGAGTTAGATCCGAGAGTGTTTGTACTTGCATGAGCGGTCATGCTGGAAAGTAGGCAGGCAGGTGATGAACACTGAGAACTGCTGCACACAGGTGAGACCTTTTTAATGAAGAGACTGACTTATCTTCACTGCTTGTGTGGAACAATAACAGAGTCCATGTTTAAGAGATTCAAAAGAAGTTTTAATAAGAAAGGTATTCCTGGTTCAGGCTTTTGGCAAGAATACCGGTAATAATCTACTTATATACACACTTGGCTTCTTGATTGAGAGCTGTTCACAGGTGTGCAGCAACATGGGTACAAGAACTGCTACAAGCAAAGATCCTCTCTGTAACAGGAAGTTCACTCACACTAGAAAAACAGCAAAACCCCAGAGACCCTAAATCCCTTATTTTATCACCTAAAGAATCTTGTTTACGGAATAATAGACCTGGAGCTGGATAACATTATCCTCAATCTAATTTATCGCTAAGATTTCTTTTTCCTCCTGATTAAATTTTCAGATCCATCAGTGAAGATAATGAATATCATCAGGTTGACTCTGGTGGTACTGATGCTGATTCCTGTGGTAGTCTTATGTCTTTGGACGAGGTAAAACTCTAAAACTGGATTGGTTTCTTCGCTGAGCTTGGATTCTCTTCTTCAGCTCTTTTTTTTATTTTTGTTTGTTTAGTTTTTTTTCATTTTATGGAATCAAATTGTTTTCTGTGTGTTTTTTTGTGTGCAAAAAATAAAGGAAGGGGGAAACTTTGAGCACAGGAACTGGACCGATTGAAGCTGCAGAGATGATGCAGGTAAGAGGCCAGGTTAATCTATTAAAACTGAGTCTGTGGTTGATCTGAGGCAAAGTTGAAACCCTGTTTTAAGATCCAAAGATCTATTGTCAAAGCAGTTTTATAGATTAAACTCATTCACTTTTGGCTTTTGTCCATCTGTTTCCATCAGTGTGCATCTGATTCTGTATATCAGAACATCTCAGCCTGAAATGTCATCAGTGAAGCTAAAATGGATTTAAAAGAGGAACAGGAAGACCTGGATGGATATTTAGTCTGGTTTTAACCTCCTGCCAGGAAGAAGGACTAATTTTCATTTCAGATTATAAAAACCACAACAAAAAATTGATAAATATGAAAAATCATTATTCAATCATCATTCATTGGAGCCGCTCCTGTTCAGAATTCTTTTGACATGAATTCAGCAAATTAGATTCTTGACCTTAAAAGTGTTTTTGTGTATGATGTATCAGCTTCTTTCTCCTGTATGCAAGATAAACAAGAGCAAGAACTCAAAGTAGAACCTGTGTGGTTCATGTCACATGATCTGTAGCTACTCCACTGCATATACATAACTGTGTGATCAGTTTAAAATCATGTTTGTATTTCAAATTGACCAGAATCAGAGCTTTTAGCCATACTGGTTTTAATCTTAAAGTGTCTGTGACCAACTTCAAACAAAGAAAAAAGAAGAATGTACAGTATTTTACAATAAAAAGATAATTGTGAACCAAAATGGCCGTAGTTCTTTAATTTCACTGTCTAAAGTCGACAAAATCTGGTGTCATTCATTGTATGACTGCTAATTATAAACAGTTAAATTAGACCACAGTTTGCACAAAAAGGGTGTTAATCTGGTAAAATTCAGCCTTGATGGCTGGTTTAAGCAATACTGCAGTGGACATCAGTTTGCACTACTTTGTCATGTTTTGGGGATATTTCATACCCACATGCAGAGATACAGGTGCTGGTCATAAAATTAGAATATCATGAAAAAGTAGATTGATTTCAGTAATTCCATTTAAAAAGTGAAACTTGTATATTATATTCATACATTACATACAAACTCATATATTTCAGATGTTTATTTTGTTTAATTTTGATGATTACAAATGACAACAAATGAAAATCTCAAATTCATCATATCAGAAAATTAGAATATTACTGAAGACCAATAAAAACAAAGGATTTATAGAAATGTTGGCCAACTGAAAAGTATGAACATGAAAAGTATGAGCATGTACAGCACTCAGTATTTAGTTGGGCCTCCTTTGGCCTGTATTACTGCAGCAATGCGGCGTGGCATGGAGTCGATCAGTCTGTGACACTGCTCAGGTGTTATGATAGCCCAGGTTGCTCTAATAGTGGCTTTTAGCTCTTCTGAATTGTTGGGTCTGGTGTATTGCATCTTCTTCTTCACAATACCCCATAGATTTTCTATGGGGTTAAGGTCAGGAGAGTTTGCTGGCCAATTAAGAACAGGGATACCATGGTCCTTCAACCAGGTACTGGTAGCTTTGGCACTGTGTGCAGGTGCCAAGTCCTGTTGGAAAATGAAATCTGCATCTCCAAAAAGTTGGTCAGCTGCAGGAAGCATGAAGTGCTCTAAAACTTCCTGGTATGTGGCTGCGTTGACCCTGGACCTCAGAAAACACAATGGACCAACACCAGCAGATGACATGGCACCCCAAACCATCACTGACTGTGGAAACTTTACACTGGACTTCAAGCAACGTGGATGAAGTGCCTCTCTTCTTTTCCTCCAGACTCTGGGACCTTGATTTCCAAAGGAAATGCAAAATTTACTTTCATCAGAGAACATGACTTTGGACCACTCACCAGCAGTCCAGTCCTGTTTCTCTTTAGCCCAGGCAAGACGCTTCTGACGCTGTCTGTGGTTCAAGAGTGGCTTGACACAAGGAATGCGACAGCAGAAACCCATGTCTTTCATACGTCTGTGTGTGGTGGTTCTTGAAGCACTCACTCCAGCTGCAGTCCACTCTTTGTGAATCTCCCCCACATTTTTGAATGGGTTTTGTTTCACAATCCTCTCCAGGGTGCGGTTATCTCTCTTGCTTGTACACTTTTTTCGACCACATCTTTTCCTTCCCTTCGCCTCTCTATTAATGTGCTTGGACACTGAGCTCTGTGAACAGCCAGCCTCTTTAGCGATGACCTTTTGTGTCTTGCCCTCCTTGTGCAAGGTGTCGATGGTCGTCTTTTGGACAACTGTCAAGTCAGCAGTCTTCCCCATGATTGTGTAGCCTATAGAACTAGACTGAAAGACCATTTAAAGGCTTTTGCAGGTGGTTTGAGTTAATTAGCTGATTAGAGTGTGGCACCAGGGGCCATCAATTTTGAACCTTTTCACAATATTCTAATTTTCTGATATGATGAATTTGAGATTTTCATTTGTTGTCATTTGTAATCATCAAAATTAAACAAAATAAACATCTGAAATATATGAGTTTGTATGTAATGTATGAATATAATATACAAGTTTCACTTTTTAAATGGAATTACTGAAATCAATCTACTTTTTCATGATATTCTAATTTTATGACCAGCACCTGTACTCTCAGGATGATTAGATCTGTTAAAGAGGTTCGTTGCACAATGAGGGTTAGGACAGAAAATGCTCAGGTGGAAATCTAAGGATTGACTCAGAAACAAAGAGGTGGGTTGTTGTTACCAGTGACTTCACTCAGGTGAAGAGTGACTGACTTTCAGCCTCTTTATCCTGCTAGGCTGATTATACCTGATGTGTTGCACCTGTGAGGAGGTGCAGCAGGGGGAGGAGGGGTGCTCAGCCCGCCTGGAAGATAAGCTGCAGAACAGAACCTGACCGGCAAAGAAACAAACAAAACCCCAAGTCCTGACACTTTTCTAAACTGAAGTGGTTTAGTGCTGCCTGGAACTAGACCCCAATCTATATGGGATTTTGAAGGCCAATATTGATAATGGATGCTTTAAAAAAAAAAACTATATCTGATATAATGGCTGATACAAGATATTGTACGATATCCAATTTATAATGGCCAGAAATTAAAAACTAGATGTGGACTTACATGGGATCCTCTTTATCAGACTATATCGTCCCAAAAGTTAGAAAATTTCTTTTTTTATTTTATTTATTTTTATTTTTTTTAACAGTGTCCTTTCTGGCAAGGTGGCAATAAGAATAATTGTCTTGATGCCAAAAGGAGCCCAACAGATTTTACTTTCAAAAGTGTAGCGGTATGGCAATTGCCATACTGCTCCACTTGTTTCATGCATATAAATTGCTTTATTATAATTATGCAGGGAGTTTTACAGTTCATATGGACACTGCAATGTAAGTAGAGCAGAAAAACAGAAGAAAAAGTAAAAAGAAAAAGAAAAAAAAGGACAAAAGATGAAAGGAAGAGGAGATAGGAAGGAGACAATGTCAAAACATTTTCAGTGTGCTTCATCACCTGTAACGAGATGAAAAAAAGAACAGCACAACCAAAAGACACGGTACGTGATATACAATAAAGCAACACCTTGAAACTATCGCTAAAGTAATATTATTAAGTCTGACATGTACTCTGTGTTACCTGAAGATATGAATTTCTATAAAAAAAAATCCAGTCTTAAAATCTGTTTTTTTTTTAATAAACATTATCTTATGCAGCTTGTACACCTAAATTCGACCAATCAAAGGTGATCTGTCAGTCAAATTTTTTTCGGTCATAGCATCTTGTTTCATATGTCGCAACTATTATAAGCAACAGTTGAAATCAGAAATAAGTATAATTTCCTTTCCCATTGAGTTCCATCCCAGTGTTCATGGGTGAGGAACAGAGCTGGTTAGGAAAGGACTCAAACATGTACGGCTGTAAGCCTTCTACACCAAACCAAGCTTCTGCCGCCCTGGCGTCCTCTTCCACAACATCTTCGTCCCCCCTTTCCTTCTCTAAATAAAAAATGTATGATGGAGAAGACTCATCAACGAACTACTGTAAGACACTAAACTCTCCTCCTCTTGCATGTTTCCGCTGTCCATAGCGTTCCTTGACAGTGTCGTTTCTAAGTCACCAATTTAGTGCTACTTGGTCCCAACGGAATTTCCCATTGGGAACCTACTAGCACTAAGTTGCTAACTCGTTAGGAAGATGCTTTCGCGACACCGGCCACAACCAAAGAGCTTGTGAACCATCTTGATAAACGACCAATCTCATTGATTTTATTCATTTGTGTAAAGTCAGGCACCACTCGAATACGGGAACTGCAATCGTTGGAACAGTCGCTTCCTTACGACTTTAATTTAAGCATTGTCCACATAAGACTATAAATACAAACTATTTTTGTGGCGCTGATTTACTTAATAGTTGTTTTTTTGCCTTGCTGGTTCTGGAGCCCTGGCTAACTTTAACGCTGCAGATGTTGCATCCAACAGCAGTTACATCCTTCATGAAGTGTCTCTACACCTGACTGTTCCCCTCTGCTTATAAATATACAGCGAGTGAAATAGGTATTGAACAGGCACCATTTTTCTCAGTAAACATATTTCTAGAGGTGCAACTGACATGACATTTTCACCAGATGTCGTTAACAATCCATGAAATCCACACATACAAAGAAATAAAACCACAGAAGTCCATAAACTGAGTTAGCTGTAATAGAGTTAAATGGCAGGGTGAAAAAGTATTTAACACACTTACTGAAATAGGATTAATACATTGTACAAAACTTTAAATGAGCTTCAACATGCTTTTTCTTCAGTAATGGAGTCTAGCATGTGGAGCGTGTACACAGGCCATGGCGCTTGGGTGCATTTGTCTTTCTGAAGTTCTCCACAAGTGGTCTTTGGCTCTTCTTATTATTTTTTTTCACGCCTCTTTGAGTATTCTTGCGAGGAGCACCTGGTCGTGGGGGGTTTAGGGTGAAATGATGGCTCCCACAGTGGTGTCTTGAACATTAAGAAGTTTAGAAATCCTTCTGTAACCAATGCCATCATTATGAGAAGGCTCTTTACTTCTACCCATCATAAGATTTTTCTTGTGTGATACCAGAGACACTTTTTTTATAGGCCATCAATTTGAACTGAATCAGCTGATAATAATTTGCCCTGAAAAGGCGCAGGATTGCTTTCTAATTAATAAGAGATTTTGGGAGGTGTCTTGGCTTTCCAAGCCTTTTTGTACCTCCTTTTCTTCACATGTTGAATACTTTTTCCCTGTGCCACATTATTGCTTTCTTGGTATGTGGGGTTTGCATTGACTGTTGATGACAGCTGGTGAAAATGTCATGTCAGTATCACCCCTAGAAATATATTTACTGAGAAAAATGGTGGCGTGTTCCAAACTTATTTCACCCGCTGTATAAACTACTCATTCTAAGCCTTAACAATGCTTTCATTTTTAATGTAAGGCTATTAGACTTTGTGACACTTGATTTTTACGCACCGTCCTTTAAATTTCAAAATTCTCTCAACAATTTTAAAACCTTTTCTTTGATGCTCTTTGGCTTCTGTTGTGGCTCTGGTCGGTACTGTACCAGATTTCAAAGAAACACACTAATAACTGTTCTAATGATTTCCTGCGATATTCCTCTGTGTCACTACTTACATTTGTTGTTTACTTTCCGAGATGACTGGTAGGATACCTTCTGTGATGTCGCTGCTTACAAACCTTTCTGTGTTTTTTTTGGAGCTCGATTGGCATTTGCCACAGAACACCGGAATTGGCAAGTCTACCACGGGCACCCTGTGCT